GTCCTTTCGAATTGTGTGATAGATATAGATCTCCTGAGGATTAGATGAATTAAAGAGTGATTACTTTTTTTGCTGTTTTTTATTTCGATGTTATAAGATTTACAGTTGAGGGTGAGACAACGGTGAATGACATGTTCACTAGGTCAATAAATAATAAACTATGTGTTTCGTCCAAATACATGCCGTGGGCTACGTTTGAAACAACAAAGTTATCTTTGTCTGGTCGATTGTTATCCAGGCTGTAAACCAAGGTCATTATTCTCAGAATAGTTAGTGTTCCAAGAAATCGATTTGAATACAAAGAATAGTGGTTTTTAGCTGAAAGTTACAACAGACCAAATCAAGTGGTCGATTCCAATTTGCTTCAAGCTTTGTCATTGCCACATATTTGATTGTTTCGCATAAGTTAACGGAACCCCTAATTTTTATAGGTTTCAATCTAGACGGATCCAGCAAATCATGCTGAATATACGAAAATTTGTTTTCCACCTAATTCACTCGACATTCCTGGTCATGGGCTGTTGATCGCGGACAAGCATAATAGGCTCAAGTGTAATTCTCTCGTCGTGAATTTATCATTGAGACAACGACATGGTCAGAAAAAAATCACTTACTGGCGTAGATTGTGAAAATGATCACAGGTTTGTGTGTGTATCTGTGTAACTGAACCGCTGTCCAGTGAATGAGTGACTCGTAGAACACGAACCTGAAACCCAAATCGAATAAAGCGAGTCGGTGAACTACGTGTACTTCGGAGAACAATCATTACAACTACAAGCAACATATCTCAATTTGTGGGGCTATCCAGTCACAAGGGTCGGGGGAATATACTTCAAGTCGTCGTGAGGGTCTGTTGGGGAGCGTATGCCGGGGAGATTTCCACATTCTGCGGTCATAACAGCATTATTGCTTTGTTCGAATTTGTGATTTTTACAATGTGGGCTTCAATATGTCCATGTCTTTGGATTCACACACAGACACACATACGTTGTGACTACTCACTCGCAGCAAGCTTTGGCTGCAGCTCTTAACATTTAGAACACGACAATGTGTTCAATATTGTCCACAATTGGCTAGGTTTTTGAGGATGGACTCGTTTTTTTGAGCAGGCTTTGCAATGAAAGATGTGTCTTGTTTTCGACTCACTCGTTATCAATGCTCAGCTTAGCTTGAACAAATTTTGTGACAAAAAGCAATTCCCTATTTGACTCGAAAGTCATGATTATAGTTGTTCTTCATGCTCCAGCAAATCTTTTGAGTCAGGAAGCACATGCCATCCACTGCACTCTTGCTCTGGCATGAAATATGGGTGTATTAAATGGAAATATATTTGTGTGGTTGGATGAAATGAATGAAGACGACTTTATGACAAAACTGTTTGTAAGATTACCAAAAAATGGAGTTGTGACTCACGGATATTTGCTTAGAAGAAAATTTGGTTTTTTATGACAATGTTGTAAATAAAATTGTTGATTGATTTCACGACATTTCACGATATGTTTTATCATTGAAATCGACCCACTACTTGCACACCAGATTTGTATTTCCCCCAATCTACTTGTTTAGGTTAAAGTCCTGAAAGTAACTGTCGTCCGCGCATATAAATCTCAAAATATCCCGGCAGACCGGTTTGCAATACTAGTTGATTGTAAGACAATGCGAAATTGGACGATGATGATGATGATTTGGATGATGATGATGATGATGTTGTTGTTGATGATTTGGATGATGATGATTATGACAATGCGAAATTGGATGATGATGAAGATCATGATGATGATGTTGATGATGAAGAATTTGATGATGATGGTGATGATGATTCTGATGATGATGACGTTAGTGATGTTGCGGATTATCGTAAAGATGTTGATGCTGTCGATGAAGTGTTTGAGCAAAAATAATCGTCTGATGATGATGATTGCGACGATGACGGTTCCGATGATGATGAGGGTGATGATTTTGATCATGATCATTATCATGACCCTGATGCTTTTGAAGATTTGACTGATGATGGTAATGCTCAATATAATGATGCTGATGAATCGCTGATGATGATAGTGATATTGATGAGGAAGTTGATGATGTGGGTGAGGACGATGTTGCTGAAGAAGTTGATGAAGATGACAATCTTGATGATGATCTGACCTTGATGATGATGATGTTGATGAGGAGGAGGAGGACGAGGAGGACGAGGAGTATTGGGATTGTAAATAGGATGATGATGATGATGATGATGATGATGATGATGATGATGATGATGATGATGATGATGATGATGATGATGATGATGATGATGATGATGATGATGATGATGATGATGATGATGATGATGATGATGATGATGATGATGATGATGATGATGATGATGATGATGATGATGATGATGATGATGATGATGATGATGATGATGATGATGATGATGATGATGATGATGATGATGATGATGCAAAGCATGACGATCATGGTGATGGTGCCTAAGATGATGATTATGAAGATGATTATTATGATGGTGATGATGGTGAAGATGACGATAATAATGATGCTGATGGTGATGATGTTGATAATATTGAATGAGTGGATGATAGTGTTGAAATCAATGGTCCTGATTAAAATGATGGTGACGTCGATGATGATGACGAATCGAGTGTTGATGTGACTGTTGATGAAGAGGAGGCTGCTAATGAAGATGAAACTTTTGATGATGATGATGATGATTCAGATGATGATTGTTATGATGGTGATGATGAAGCTGATGATTCCTATGATGATGTTGTTGTTGTTTATGAATTTGCTGGTGATGATGATGATTCGGACGTTGATGATGATGATGTTGATGATGGTGGTGATGGTGAAGTTTCGGCTTATGATAGTGATTCCGGTGAAGGGGATGATCATGTTGTTGTTGTTGATGATGATTACAATGAAACTGATGATGTTGATAGAGATGATGGTGCTGATGATGAATATGATGATGGTTCGGATGACGATGGTGACGAAAATGATGATGTAGTTGATGAGGACGATGAATAATGTTGCGATTTTGTTGTTGGTGATGATGAGTTCAGTTTGGTCGGATGACCTGAGGTTTGAGCGTTAATGGTGGAATCTAAAGGACAGTCAGGTAGACAAATATCTCAGTCCCACCGATTACTCGCAAGTAACTGCCTGATATATATATATATATATATATATATATATATATATATATATATATATATATATATGCGTTGCAGGTTTAAAACTGGGGGGATGTGCACCTCATCCTGTAAACAACATCTGACTTGGTGGGGGTCATTCGCTTGGCGTCAACGGGGTTGGTACCGTGTCTCCATTCGAAGCTGTCGGGCATCCCTGGCTGTCCTAGTTGTCGGCATTTGAACAAGCTTACTTTAGAGATTCGGATCAGCTCGGACGGTAGCGGAGTGGTGCAGTGGTAACACACATGCCCACGCGACGAAAGTGCCCTGTGTTCAAACCCTGGTCGTGGCAGAGGATATGCACCACTGTTGAACTCTAATAAGAGCGAAACTCGAGTCTGGTGCTTCCGAGTTCAGGTTGGTCGGTTGGCCTGAGGTTGGTGTGTGAAAGGTGGAGTCCGAAGGACATTCAGCTAAACAAATATTATTGTTGTTTTTCTTACTGGTGCCTAAATTCCGCTGTTTCATACTCAGGGCAACCTTTTTTGCATTTCTCACACGATCCTTTTGTGTTTAATGCTGCCACTTTCGGTTATTTTGTGTACTAACTTCGGAAGGTAACGTAGATTCATCGATGCAAATTTGTTCTCATTTCGTTACTATCTTTTACTCAAAACAGGCATCACAAAATTGGTTGGCATTCCTTTTTTTGCACCTGTTTATTGCAAGAATACAGTTGGTCAAGCCCCCTGATTATCCTAGCTAGAAATCGACCACCACCACTCCATAGATGCAGACTCGGACCGTATGACCTGCATGTAAATCAACTTGTAGATACCATCATCTCCTCAAATACATAAGTTTACTCAATCTGGATTGCCCTGGCCATGGTTCCGACTGGATAAGCATCAATAAGTGGTAAAAATTACTTCTTTTCCTTTCAACCTTCAGAAGAAATACCTCTTTTGATCTGGAGCTTTTGAATTTTGGAGACTTATATATATATACATATATATATATATATATATATATATATATATATATATATATATCAGGCAGTTACTTGCGAGTAATCGGTGGGACTGAGATATTTGTCTACCTGACTGTCCTTTAGATTCCACCATTAACGCTCAAACCTCAGGTCATCCGACCAAACTGAACTCATCATCACCAACAACAAAATCGCAACATTATTCATCGTCCTCATCAACTACATCATCATTTTCGTCACCATCGTCATCCGAACCATCATCATATTCATCATCAGCACCATCATCTCTATCAACATCATCAGTTTCATTGTAATCATCATCAACAACAACAACATGATCATCCCCTTCACCGGAATCACTATCATAAGCCGAAACTTCACCATCACCACCATCATCAACATCATCATCATCAACGTCCGAATCATCATCATCACCAGCAAATTCATAAACAACAACAACATCATCATAGGAATCATCAGCTTCATCATCACCATCATAACAATCATCATCTGAATCATCATCATCATCATCAAAAGTTTCATCTTCATTAGCAGCCTCCTCTTCATCAACAGTCACATCAACACTCGATTCGTCATCATCATCGACGTCACCATCATTTTAATCAGGACCATTGATTTCAACACTATCATCCACTCATTCAATATTATCAACATCATCACCATCAGCATCATTATTATCGTCATCTTCACCATCATCACCATCATAATAATCATCTTCATAATCATCATCTTAGGCACCATCACCATGATCGTCATGCTTTGCATCATCATCATCATCATCATCATCATCATCATCATCATCATCATCATCATCATCATCATCATCATCATCATCATCATCATCATCATCATCACACATCATCATCATCATCATCATCATCATCATCATCATCATCATCATCATCATCATCATCATCATCATCATCATCATCATCATCATCATCATCATCATCATCATCATCATCATCATCATCATCATCATCATCATCATCATCATCATCATCCTATTTACAATCCCAATACTCCTCGTCCTCCTCGTCCTCCTCCTCCTCATCAACATCATCATCATCAAGGTCAGATCATCATCAAGATTGTCATCTTCATCAACTTCTTCAGCAACATCGTCCTCACCCACATCATCAACTTCCTCATCAATATCACTATCATCATCAGCGATTCATCAGCATCATTATATTGAGCATTACCATCATCAGTCAAATCTTCAAAAGCATCAGGGTCATGATAATGATCATGATCAAAATCATCACCCTCATCATCATCGGAACCGTCATCGTCGCAATCATCATCATCAGACGATTATTTTTGCTCAAACACTTCATCGACAGCATCAACATCTTTACGATAATCCGCAACATCACTAACGTCATCATCATCAGAATCATCATCACCATCATCATCAAATTCTTCATCATCAACATCATCATCATGATCTTCATCATCATCCAATTTCGCATTGTCATAATCATCATCATCCAAATCATCAACAACAACATCATCATCATCATCATCCAAATCATCATCATCATCGTCATCATTACCATCAACATCATCATCATCGTCATATTCATCATCTTCCTCATGGCCATAATCGTTATCCCGATCTTTATCACCAATGTCGTCATACAATTAGTCATCGTTAGCACCACCACCATCATGAATCACTTCAGCATCGCTTTATTCGGAATCCCGATCATCTAGTGAATCATCGTCATCATCACAATCATTGCAATCATCTTCATATTCAACATCATCATCCTGAACTTCCGAATTACATTATGATGATCATCTTATTCATCTTCATCAGAACCATCATCATTGCAGCATTCAATGGCATCATGGTCATGATCATAATCGTGATTAGGACCTTGATCAGGATCATCAACATCATCATCATCATCCGAATCGTCATCATCGCAATCATAATCACCAGACGAATATTCACCTTATCTTATACATCAACATCACCAACATCACTATGATGATTACCATCATCATCCACACCATCGTCAGCCTCATCAACTTTTTCATCGTCATCATCGAATCCCAGTCATCATCAACAACTACATCATTTTCACTACACCATAATCATAGTCATCGTCATCGTCATCCATATCACATTCGTCATCTTCATCATCATCATCATCACCACCATCGTCGGAATCAACATCATCAGAAGAACCATCATCATCAACTTCATCATCTTCAGAATAAACACCAACAAGTCCGATTCATCTTCATCATCAATAGCATCATGATCATCATCGCCATCAAATTCATCAACACAGTTATCATCATAAAAATTCTCGTTATCATCATCATCGACCACGTCATCATCAATCTCCGAATCATCATCAAGATCGACATCGTCATCGACTTCTTCAGCAACATCGTCCTCATCAGATCATCAAATTTCTCATCAATGTCAATATCATCTTCATCGAAGCATTGTCGTCATCATCATGAAACTCACCATCATCAATCGAATCAATAATAGCGTAATTGTCACGATCAAGTTCATGATCAGGATCATCACCATCATCATCATCCGAATAGTCAACATTGCCGTCGTCTTCACCAGACGAATATCCTCGATCATGTACTTCATCATCATCACTAACACCATTTTGATTAGCAACATCATCACCAACGTCATCATCATCATTATAATCATCTACATCATCATAATCTTCATCCTCGCAATCCGAATCTTCTTCGTCGCCATCATTCTAATCATGATTTCCATGACCGTGATCATGATCATCACCCGAATCATCATCGCTGGCATCATCATCACCCAAAATATCATCCTTATCAAAATCCGGATCATCATCATCATCATAATCATTTTCGTCATCATCATACTCATCATGATTATCATCATCGTCAGCAAAGTGTCATCTTCCCCGTAATCATGCGAGTAATTATTATCTGCAACAAAATCATGAATATCATAATCTCAGACAATATATTCATCATCATCCCCATTAAACCATGAACAACATCAACATCATCATGACGAACATCACCACAAACGGTTTCATTATCAACTTCTTCACCATTGTACGAATCATCAAAAATATCAGAACAAACATCAACAGCGTAATCAGCATCATCATCAAAAACATAAGCACTGCCACGAAACCATCAAAATTGTAGGAAATAATAATATCATCTGTAAAATCACCAGCCTTTTCATCGACGACATCTTCAACACCATAATGATCATCGACCAATATGCTATCATCGGAGTCATCTACATCGTCACCAGTACCCACAACATCAAGTGAATTGTTGACCTCTTTGTCGATACGATCGATATTATAATCATCG